AGAAAAAAGATAGTACTACAGCCATGGGCGAAAGCGGTGTAGTGACAACGTGATGCGCGGATCAAGTCCTGGGTCGAACGGGTCAATTAAGCCTCGCACCATTCCGGGGTCGGTTAATTGGTACCAGACTTGTCTGGGAGGATAAAAACACTGACTTGAACATCGGCTGGCCCCGCAAGTCATTGTATAGGCCACATCGCATTCAAATGCCACTACGAATGTACAAATGGAAGTAGAATGCGTGCCGCATCCCAAAAAGGGATTGATCAACGGCAAATGCTTTATTTATTTATCCCTTTACCTTATCTATAACATCTTTATTGACTCCCTATTATTACCTGTGGCTGAAGCATGCTAAGCAAGAGGCAAGTCAGCGACGAAGGCTATTGTGATTAGGTCCTTTTCAGATTCTTCAACCAGTTTCGAGCACTGTTTTGGCGGAATACGAGGACCGTGCTTCGAGAACCAACTCTGCTCAAAGTCCAACTCTTCCAGTCCGTGGTTGGTACAGGGCTTCTGCCGAGAAGATTGGGTGTCCCCCAAGAGGCCCGTCGCGCGGCGAAGGAAGAGACGCAGATGCGGCAAAGGACGAGTCGCAGCGCGTGCTGTGCGATATGAGACGTAGTATGGTACACTCTATTTAACCTGACGCCTAACCGCTACAGTATGCGCTGCGACTCGTCCTTTGCCGCGTCTGCGTCTCTTCCTTCGCCGCGCGATGGGCCTCTTGGGGGACACCCGAGAAGATTCCTTCGTTATATTTTTCAAAGCATAGCTTATTCTTGAAGGTGATTGCTGCATTGACTGGTATTGTCTACTTGGGAGACTCTTACACGCAAGACAAAGTGGCGAATATCAATGGTTCACTCTATCAACTGGTTATGAACATGGCTTTTATGTTTCAGTTCGTCGTAGTGAATGTGAGTTTTCAATGGCCTCTCGATGAGGGCCGGGTGAAGTTACCCTTCAGAAAAGAAGGATTAGGGTTTGAGGGAGGATTATAGAAAGGGTTAGAGGGGTCAAGGAGCAGTCAGCTGTACTATGGATTGGAGCAAGAGCCAGCTTTTTAATACTTAATTACCTACTAAATTTCAATTTCAGCTTAAGCTGAATTTTCAGCTGAGTTTTGGCCACATTTGTGGGTTCTAACTTAGTTGGCGGGTAGCCCCCAGGAGGCCCGTCGCGCGGCAAGAAGGCAAAGTCAGCGGACGAGTCGCGCGCGTACTATAGGGATTTCGCGTCAAGTTAATAGAGTGTCCCCTGCACGTCCTGCACGTCCTACATCGCACATCACGCGCTGCAACTCGTCCGCTCGTCCTTAAGCGCGCGACGGGCCTCTGGGGAACAAGTGGGGGAGGGGACCACGCGGCGGCGCGGCGCTCTGTTCGTCTCCTCCAAGGCTTAGTCCGCCGATGGCGCGTATTTCGAAACTGCCACGTGGCGACGAAATAGTAACTGCCCCTTGGACTAAGCCTTAGAGGAGCAGACGAACAGAGCGCCGCGCCGCCGCGTGGTCCCCCCCCCCAACTAAGTTAGCACCCTTTGTGAGCATAATTTAGCTGAATTCATTCACATGAACGAGGCCCATCGCTTCCAAGAAAACAAAAGGTTCAAGAAACTGTCAACTGTAGGTTGCTTTTCCCGCGCAACGATCGGTAAGACGAGTAAGACTACAAAGCCCAGGCTGGCAATCGTGACGAGGAAAAGCTTTCGCCCCAGTAAAGGCACGCCTTCCCCGTCTCCCTCCCCGTTTCCTCCCCCCCCCTCACCTTCCGCCGTTGGGTAGTACAATCCCTCCGACCGACTTGGCAGCTGTTGCCACAACCTGACACACTCCAACTCCGCCCCCTAACTTCCTCCAAAGTAGCCTAGCGTCGCATACAGTAAATCACCTGAAAAGGCAGGATTTTCAATCGCAACTATTTTACTTCTTCGCTGTTCCCATCTACTATCCAATCTTCCCGCTAAAGCAAAACCACATACTGAGATAGAAATCAATAAAATAAGAACAATAAAATAGAAATGTTTACGATGACATATACTATGTCATGCGTGCCAAAGAGTTTTCAAAGAATAAGCCAGTTACAGCATTTCTGCTCGGAAATCAGTACGTTCTACCGTGAATACAGCTCAGGACTCTACAGTGTACCCGCGTATTTCCTGGCTAAGAATCTGGCTGAGGTTTGGGAACGTTTTCAATATTTCGGAATCCAACAAAAACCTTACGTTTTGTTTCAGTTGCCTACTTACACACTGGCGGCTGTGATCTTCGGCACAATTCTCTATTGGATGTCGCGTCTCTTTCCACTGTGGGATGCTTTCGGTTTCTATCTGCTAATTGCTGTTCTTGTGCAGAACACGGCCATTTCTATCGGTATGCTCATTCATCTGCACCAAAATAAGGAGTTCGGATCACATGAAATGAAAAAATCGGATTTCAAATCCCAACAAATCAGAAGTAGTGGCGATGTGGCCATAGAACCGTTGATTTACCGTTGATCGGTGGCCTAGAAAATGACTTGCGCGATCCAGCCGATTTACAATCCTCCCAGACAAGTCTGGTACCAATTAACCGACCCCGGAGGGATGGAAGGCTTGGTTGGCCCGGGCGACTCACGACCCAGGATTTGATCCCCGGACCGCTCGCGTGGTAAGCGCGCCACTTGCCACTACACCACTTCCGCCCTGATGTGATAATAATTGCATGTAATCAGCAAAATTGCAATGTGTGACGATAGGTCACAACTTTTGCCAAAATATTTTCACTCATTTTCAGCCTACTCTCCCCTGGGTCGCTTAATTGGCACTATACTTGCCTGGGAGGATAAAAACCCTGACTTGTAAATCGGCTAGCGCGCCTTTGCTTCCCACTTGCATGGGCATCCGACGAAGTGTTGGGGCAACGAAGCCAATCTAGGTTGAAAGCATTCGAGTCACATTATTGATAGTTCAGCTCACTAGAAAAGTTCTGATATGATCCCATTCTATAGTCAAAAAATTGGAAAAGCAAGTCTATCGGTATAGTCCATAGTAGTCTTGAACAGTATGATTCTCGAATATCTCAATTTTTTTAGTTGAAAAATGCGCTCTGATAATTCA